CTCCTTAAGGACTTGTATTTTGTGCTTGTCATTGACAGGTTATCAAACCCTAACAAAATGTCTGGATTTACTAAGCAGTTAACAAATACTTGCAAAAACAAAGAAAACATTATGAGTTCTCTGTATAAGTTAAAATGGAAGGAAGATACTACTGGCTTTTGACCAAATGCCAACAACAATAACAAAAAATCAGCGAATAGACTGAGCCAGAGACAGGGAAAGTGACCATGCCAGGTGCAAAGGATCTCTTGCGTGATATTTACATATTGACATTCCCAACTCTCTTTATTGCCAGAGTTGGACTTTGTACATCATCTGACTAATGAGCATTTCAGCTATTACATTACCTTGCTGCTTGCCAGCATCACTCAGTTCGATTAGTTGACTTGTGCAGTTAGTGAAATATAGCATGTTGTAATTACTCACTCAAAACTGCCTCTAAAACCTTCAACTCCTATCTCATGCACTGACCACAACTTTATTTTCAGGCCTTTGATTTCTGACTCTTGATCTCCTTTTTCCTTTTCATCTATCACCTGTCTTCCCTTGTAAGTCCTTCTCTATCTAGCCTCAACTATGAACAGCTTCTCAGCTCCTTTTACCTAAAATGCATAATGAAATTACATCCCCACCAAGAGACTTATTAGGTTCTAAACAAGTTGTGATGCAAGTGCTGCCCCTAGGAACCCCTAGTATCCAGCCTCAGCAGAACCTCTGTACCAGCCCAGCAGTCTCTGGTGATCACTCCCCTTTCCTTGTCCTCTCAGAGCAGTTTTTCCAACAGTCACTTTCCTCATACTCCCTGTTTTGCTCGTTTGGTTGGATTTTGTTTTGGTTCTGAGGAGATTTATTTGTTTTTGTTAGGAGGAGTTGTCTGTAGTAATGGGGATTGAACTGGAGGCTGGCCTTCACACTGAACTATATCCCCAACACTTTTAAAACACTTTTGAGACAAGGTTTCACTAAATTGCCAAATTATCCAGGTTGGGCTCAAATTTGTGATCTTCTGCATCAGCCTCCCAGAGTGCTGGGATTATAGGAGTGTACCACCACTCCTAGCTTTCAAATTCCTTCCTTTTAGGGAACTCCTATCCTACCCTCACTCTTAGCAAAGACATTTTCTCCTTTTTTGCTGAGGCCATGGGAGACATTCATTTTAAATTTCCATAATTCTCCCTTTCCTACAATATCATTTCCTTTTCTTGGTGAAATAGCTTTTCTCCTATCAAGTTATCCTGCTGCCTATTTGAATTTGTGATCTGCCATTTTCCTCTAATTCTTTATTCGCTCCATTTTTACCTCTTCCCTGGAGAATTCCTTTACCTCACTATACCATCGGAATGCCTTATTTACTTGTAGAGAGAAATGTTAATTCAATGAGGACAAATGTTTGCATTGGTGTGATCTGTTTATTCTAGAAGCAAAGTATAGAACATATTATTTAAGCTTGTGGACTCTGAATTTAGAACTTGATTGCTCAATTGCTTAATTAATATTTCTGAGCCTTATTACCTTTCCCCTACCCTTCCCACTTTCCCTACACCTAATAAGGGAAAAGAAAAAAATATGAGAAAATGAAAAAATGGAAATAAAGTGTTTGTAAATGGGGAGGATAGGAGGGGTTGAAGGGAGGGCAGGGACAAGGGGAAAAAATGAGAACCAAGACCTGTCATGTAAAGGTACAAGATCCCAATAATGAATGTAACTGTACTGTATACCTAGAATGTACCAATAAACTCAATGAGAGAAAAAAACATATTTCTGAGCCTCAGTATCTTTATATATATAAAAAAGGTAGGAAATAGGACCTAGTTTATAAGTTTGTTTTAAAAACTTAATCAAATAATTAATGTAAAGTGTTTACTCAGAAACAAGTGCTATTAGCAATTACTGTTCTTGATGTTCCTCTCAATTGCCATGGGCCAAGCCTGAAGATGGCCATTCGCCTCATCCCTATTTCCTTTCTCCTCTACAGAGAGTCAGACTGTAGATCCTGGATGGCACAGCCCTAGAAGACAGTTACATTATCTATACTTGCCCCACCCCCACCCCGCGCCCGCATGCCCCAATCATGAGACAATCACTTTTCATTCAGTCTGGACCACGTGGGCCGAGTTGCCCCACCTTCTCTCTTGTTAGTCCTACCCTATAAAGAGCACACTGGAGGTGGCCATTAGCTCATAAGGCTATGGTCCCACCTGGTCCCAGCTATAAAACTTAATCTTGGTATGTATCCTTGTTATTTTCCAATTTTCTTCATCTCCCACTGCTCTCCTATTTCAGACCCTATGCTGTGCTGGTCACAGCACTCAATATGTAAGTTTAGACAGATACTAAAATTATCACAAAAGGACTGTTTAGTGAACATTCACTATTTTCCCACAGATGATTGTTTATTCAGTCATTTAATGACCCAATGTAGAGACCAGAGTGCTCAATCTCAGAGAAGGGTGCACTTTTATGGACTCTTTAGAATCCTATTTTTTTTATCCCTGGTATAAAAAAAATCCTATTATTTAACAGTATGACATTTAATACTCTTGGACACTTGCTCTTTAGTCTGTCTTCTACTGGCTTTTCTTCAAGTTCATAAAATCTTTTAAAGTTATTTGTGGATTCACATGTAATGTAATAAATGATAGAGAAATCTTGTTTATTCTTCAAGTAGCTTCCTCCAATGCTAACATTTTCAAAACTACAGTACAATATCATATCCAAGAAACTGACAGTGATACAATTCATTTATAAGCACGACTGCATGTGAATATTTAGGATCTATGTAATTTTAACACATACAGGTTTGAGTGGCCACCATTACAGTCAAGAAAAGATAGTTCCATCACACAGATTCATCATAGAATCCTCTCTTTAATAACCACATCTACTATGCTCCAAACCTCATCCCCCCATTGATCCCTGGCAACTGCTAATCTGTTCTTATTCATCTTATTTTTCACTAGGCAGGGCCAGAAGAGGCCCATTACAAAAAAAAAAAAAAAAATGTTTTCTTTTCTTCTTCTTTTCCCTTTCTTCCTCTTTTCTTCTCTTCTTGAGACAGGGTCTTGTAACATAGTTAAGGCCAGGCTGGCCTTGAACTCAGTGATCCTCCTGCCTCAGCCTTCCAAGTGCTGCAATTACTACTGTGCACTATCAGAAAATAAATTTTCAAGATGTATCAATAAGGGGCATGTGGAGTTTTATCAGGCAGAATTTTTAAAGTACATTCTCAAAGAGAATAAAGGGCAGGCCCTGAAGAAAGAGTGGCACATTATGGCTGTGAGCTGACACATTATTATGGTCCTAGGTGTAGAAATCTATGGAAAGAAAGCGTTCAATTTACAAGTGAAAGGTGATGCCATTTCTATAGGTGAAAAGGCCATTTTATAGGTGAAAGCTACTGTACATGGGTGAAAAGCCCTTCCTCCAAGTAAAAAGCAAGGCCCCAAGATTTAGCTATTACAAACTGTGTCGCTATAAACATGGGTGCACATACTTCTCTGTGATATGATTCTTTTAGTTCTCTTGGAAAGATACCCAGCAGAGGGATGGCTGGGTCAAATGGAACCTCCAGTCCAAGCTCTTTGAGGTATCTCCATATTGATTTCCATAGTGGTTGCACTAGTCTGCACTCCTACCAACAATGGAGAAGAGTTCCTTTCTACCCACAAACCCGCCAACATTTGTTATGGTGTGATTTCTTGATAGCAGCCATTCTTTGTGGGGTGAGGTGGAATCTCAGTGTTGTTTTCATCTGCATCTCTCGAATGACCAGTGATGTGGAACATTTTTTCAAATATTTTCTTGCTGCTTTTACTTAATTGTCTGAGAAATGTCTGTTCATTTCGGATGCCCATTTTTGAATCGGGTCTTTATATTTGGGGGGACTGATTGTTTTGAGTTCTTTATATATCCTTGATAATAGTCCTTTGTCTGAGGAACAGCTGGTAAAAATTTTTTCCCACATTGTAGATTGTCTCTTAGTTCTGCTGATGGTTTCTTTTGAAGTACAGAAGCTAAATCTTGGAAACAGCCTATTTGCCCATCCGTTGGAAACGGGATAAAGAAGTTGTGGTTTTTCTATAAAATGGAATATTACTCAGCCATAAAGAATGAGAAAATAGATTCATTCATAGGAAAATGGATACATATTGAAGATATACTCCTAAGTGAAATAAATAAGTCACACATGTGTAAATACCAGATAGTTTCCCTGGTGTGAATAATCTACAACAATGCATAAGATTCTAATAAGATTACTGACATTTAGAAATGGGAAGAAAGGAGCTAAAGGTGTAGGGAAGGTGTGATGGGTAGGGGAAGAACAAAAAGGGAAAAGAAAAAAATGTGAGAGAATGAAAAGATGAAAATAAAGTGTTTATAGATGGGGAGGGGAGGAGGGGGTGAAGGGAGGGCAGAGGTAAGGGGAAAAAATGAGAATCAAGACTTGCCATGTAGAGGTACATGATCCCAACAATGAATGTAACTGTACCGTATCCCTAAAATGTACCAATAAACTCAATAAAATTAATTAAAAAAAAAAAAGCAAGGCCCCACATTTACTGTCTTTAGGACCCTTAGGAAGTGTGGAGGTGAGTTTCTTGGAAGGCAAAAAGGCTGAGTAACTTTGTGTGGCCTGACACTTGTTTTTCTTAAAAGTATGATTTCAAAATTATAATTTTCTGCATCTCCTTTCTACTGACCTTAATTTCTCCTATCCTACCTCAACTTCAAGATTATATAAATGGAATTATAGAATTTTTTTTTCACTCAGCATAGTTCCTCGAGATCCAAAGTTTTTGTATAAGTAGTTGTTCCTTTTTCTTGCTTAGTATTCTGCTACTTAATTAAATGTACAATAGTTTATTCATTTCTTCAAGGACATTAAAAAATCCACTATAAACGTTTGGGTGTGGGTTTTGTATGAACATAAATCTTCACTTCTTTGGGATAAATGCCTAGGATTACGCTTGCTATGTTGTATGGTGCATTAGTTAGCTTACCTGTTGCTGGTCCCAGATACCTGACAACTGCAATTTAAAGGAGGACAGGTTTAATTTGGTTCATGATTTGAGAAGGTTCAGTCCATGGTTGGCTGGTCCCAAGATAGGTACGACATTGTAGAAAGATATGGGAGAGCAAAGCTGCAAAAAGAGAAAGCAGAGCACAAGGGAGGAGTACTATCAAGAGATGCACCTTCCAAAGGAAGGACCCCAGTGACCCACTTCCAAATAGGCCCCACATCCTAACAGCACTTTAGCAACAAATATCAATAGATTAAACCACTGATCACTTTAGCAGCTCTTAAGCCTAAAAAGCTGCACCGTCTAAACCTCTAAGGTCCAATGGTGAACCTGAAGTCAGTAAGTTCTGAAAACCAGTTTTCTTTATTGTTACCATGCAGATGATCTAAAGAAGGGCAGCATTACTGCAAGTGAATACTGTTACTGTTAAAAGCCTACTGAGCCAGGGATTTAGCTCAGTGGTTCTGCCACCTGCCTCACAAGCACAGGTCCTGAGTTTAATCCCTGGTATACACACACACACACACACACAAACAGCCTACTGTGGACCAAGTTCTGGACTAGAACCTTTAGAAAGTTAGTTTAATGGAGGAGACAGTTAAATAAACAAATACGAACAACTGGACATACTAGGTGCCAGAGCTCTTCCAGGATGCACCGATCATAAAAGAAGGAATTAAAAAGAGGCAATTTGAAGAAACCTTCCTGAAAAACACTTATGAAGCCTCATTTAAGACAACATTTTTTGGTGTAGGGGATAGAAGGTCCATTTCTTATATTACAACACATTTTCCAACCTCTCAGAATTTAGTCTGCCTATACTACAACTGTTAAGCAGGCAGTTAGACATTAGTGGGCCGGAGGGAAAAAGGGGTCTAAAATAAATCTTTTCAGTTAAGAAACACAGACTTCAGTATACAGTATATTCATAATCATTTGTTATTCTCAGACCTAAATTGATCCCACAGAGCACAATGACATTTTAAGGTTACACGCTGTATGCAATCCTTCTGATAACTGGACTCCTGACTTTAATTTTATTATTTTTTATTTATTTGGTGCCTCGGATCGAACTCAGGACCTTGCATTTGCCAGGCAGGTGAGGCACCAGTGAGTTACATTCCTGGCCCCCTGACTAATTTTAAAACAAGGCCTACTGCCCAATGATATCAGCAAAGAAAATGTTCTCTAAAGGTCCTCATTCTTTGGGCTGGAATCCAGTTTAAATTAATAATTTATGTTTCATAGATTTTTTTTGTAAGTATCTTACCTGATGAAAGCCACTGAGGAAACACTGACCATCTAACAACAGGAAGACATTTTGCAGTTCCAAAGTAATTTCTAAGTAAACGTTGGTAAGCACCATAATTACCCTAGTTCCCTGAACCACAGGAGTAACTCATAATGTGAATAAAAAGATATCCAGGCTCACAGTTGGTGAAGAGGTCTTTATGGTATGGCCCATTTTCTCTCTTAAAAGGTGTAACTCTCTCTAAATCTACTTTTCAATAAATTATACCTATACTTCTGTACAGCTGCTTATGTATTGAGTGGAAGGGAGGGGCCGTTTCCTTGTTGCACAGGACCCAGCTTCCTGGAGACATGAATTAATAAGAAGGCCTAATGGTGGAAGAGGAGCATTTTTAGATTATTCTTTCCTTGCCATTTTGCAATACTTAGCACCTTTTGCAATACTTAGGATTATGATAATTCCCAAATGCTTCTGAATCCTTGTGGTATCTTGGCACCTTTTCTGTAAGGTAGAAATACTAGAATGTCTATTTCACAAGGTATTGAGAATTAAATAAAATGATAAACGTAAACCTTTGAAACAGTGATTGGCATATAACAACACACTAAGTACTGGCTATTATTATCACAATCCTAAATCTATTCACATTATCCCCAAGTACATCTTTTTACACATATAACCAAGGCTAAAGCAACATAATAGCAAGTAGGAAAAAACAAGGGTATCTCTGAATTATCCACCTTATCCAACAAAAGGAGGCTGCAGAGCCCGGGTTCCAAGCCCCGTATTGGGGCCCCACCTGTAGCCAACCCACTCTGCCAACCTCTTCTAAGACCTAGACCCACTACTTTGTTCTCCCTGACCTGGGCAAATGAGGACAGATGACAAAGAGACACAGTCAGTATAACACACAGGCAGCCAGGGGGGCTCTTGCCTCTTAGTAGGCAGAGGAGCCCCCTGCATGTGGTTCATCGTGCCTTTATTCACTCAAACACGGGCACAAGCAAAGTAACACATGATTCATTTGCTTTCCAATATCTATTAGTACATGCTCCGGTAAACAACTTAACCTCAGCTGTCTTAAATTTTCCCTAGAATCAGCAATATGCTATCATCCTTGAGGGCAGCCTTTTTCCTTCGTGCTCATAGAGGAGGACAATTAGGCCTCAGTTCTCCTCTGGTCTTCCACATACCCTCACATTCTGAAGGATACAGAATAATCTTATCTTCACATAGGAAAGTCCCCGGTGTTAGAAAAGGTGCTATCCATTACCTGTGGTACAAGAAGAAACAAAAAGATGAATACGGACAAATGTATGGGACAGAGTTAGGACATTCAAGTCAGTAAAGCATTGGGGAATAGTCTCTGACTTTTTAAGTATAATTTATGGAGCCCTTCTGCATATTACAGTAGTGGAGGCCAAAAGACTGATGACTACATACAACAATGGATTTCAAAATGTTAGGAGCAAAAATTAATTTTTGTTACTGTTTTCATTTTTGTTTTTTGAGACAGGGTCTTACTATGTAGTCCAGATTGCCTTTGATCTCCCTACTGGCCCAGGCTGGCCTCAAACTTTTGATCTTCTTACCTCAGCCTTTTGAGGGCTGGGATTACAGATACACACCACAAATTTTAAATGTAAATATATTTAACATCAGCAACATGAATCCTTTATTCATGGGTGTCCTCGTTAAAGCCATTTTTTATTTATTTAGATGCAGATTAATGTTTTGTTGGGGAGTTGAGAAAATGGTTAACCAGTTTTTTGACCATAACTAAAATAATTCTGGTGATGAAAGATGGAAAAACATTAAACACTGTCTAACTCAGAGGGTTAAAATCAGAGTTTGTGGAAATGGTTCAACCAAAAGCAAAATTTCTCTTTCCCTCTTTTTATCACTTACACTCTTCCTTCCCTTGGCATGTCTTAAGGCCTGACAAAAGCAAGAATTCACATATAAATTACTACAAATGTGCTGTACCATGACAGACACTAGCCACATGTGCCTTAAACCACTTAAATGGGCCTAATTCAAATGAGATGTCTTAAGTGTAAAATACACATTGAATTTCAACTAATATGAGAAAAATTATTCATATTCTTACGTGACAAAATGATATCACTTCGGCTACACTGGGTTAAATGAAATAAATTAAATTTCACTTCTTTTTGCTCGTTTAGCTTGTGGCCCCAGAATATTTACAAGTACAGAAATGGCTTACATCTGCACCTCGCATTATATTTTTATTTAACCGCACTAATGGAGGGGCGAGCTACACTGAGCATCTTAAAATTTCTACAGAGGAAGAGACAAGGGAACAGTTGAAACTTGGTCGTAGACGTGACCTACTGATGTAAATACCTAGGGTGAAAAGAAAAGAACCAGCGTATTTTGACTGTCTTCTGCCCCCCTCCCCGGCAGCTAACGGAGCAGGTGGCAGCGTTTCCTGCAGCGCCCAGGTCCCCCACCAATGCCGGCTCGGCGGGAGCGGGACGTCGAGCCACATGCGCGCCCTAGTGCGCCGCCGCCGC